GTTTTTTTTTAATTTCCCCTTAGGAAGGGGAAAGCAGGGATGTACTTTTTGTGTTTTCCTAAAAGTCCATGAAAGATGAGTTCTTGACTGCAAAGTCATATCCCTGAGATTTCTTTCCTAATACTTTCTAATTGTTTGCTTTTTCTTGTAAGGTCTTGATACCCTTTTCAAATGCCTACTCTTGTTTAAATATTTAAGGGCATGCATTGTTACTTACAAGTTTTCTGCAATTGCTAGATTACTATTTTTATTTATCTGTAATAGCATATTGTTCATTAAAAGGCAAGATTTGTTGCTATACTTTCCTCCAAACTGCCTCAGTTCTAAAACAGAAAACACGTGGAAATGTCTCTTTATTTTCTATACTTACATTTTATATAAATAGTAGCATGTTTCTAAAGGAATTTAAAAATACTTGGAAGTATTTTTATGGTAAGAAACTCATGCACTTAAACCATCACAAACACGCTAGTCTTTCAATAGTTTTGAGTAAGACTATGGGCTGTGAGCTTTAGAAAGGAAAACCATATGTGGCACATGCTTTGTATGAATTATAAGGCTATACTCTTCCTACATACAGCTCTATGAGGAAACCATGTGGTGGATGAAAAATTTGTCTTATTTAGGCATTATAATTTTGTTCTGCTACAAGAGTGGAGTCAAAACCCGTTGAGTGCTGCTCCAGGACAGTATTCCTGTTTAATTGCTTTGATTGTCTATGCATTAGGAGAATGCCTGTAGTGTCTATGTCACAAAAATGTATATTTTCTGTAGTATTTTTTTCATCTTATACGTATTCATCTTTTCTTGAATGATGCTTATCGATCTGACCTGTATGTTATCAAAGATTTATTTTAGAATGGCATAGACATCCATTTATAAATGAAATTGTTTCATGGTGCTTACATAGAAAGCTTTTTGAAGTACAGAAAAAGTGCCAACATGGAAAACTGTATTAGAAATGCAGAAATGTGTTGTGATAAATATAGCGCTCATAGGTGAGGTTAAAGGCTGTGATAGAGCTGTGTGCATTCAGATTTATTTACCACACAGAAATGAATCCCAAATGGCTATTTTTGCTTCACTGACTGCAATCCCAGCAAGGCAGCCTTACAGACATCTGCTAAGGTTTTTTATTATTATTTGGTTAAGATTTTGAGATTGAGGTGAGAAAAATCCAGCTGTCACCTAGAAATAACCTCAAGGGGGTTTCACAGATTTGTCCAACATGTTTTTCACAGATATCTACAGGCTTCCTTGTTCCAAAGTGCTTCAGACTGTGGCTACTCACGTTTTATAAAAAATAATGGAGTGATATATGTGGTGTGCTGTTTAACCTTTCCTCAGTCAAGCTTTTTTCAAAACATGAAGGATAAAGACCAAGCAAGGGACAAATTGCCCAACATTTTTCTTCGTCAGGCACTGAAAGATATATCAGTTAATCCACTGTTATATCTGCAAATAATTCCTTATGCTAAGTAGCCCCTCACACCCATAGCCGTTGGACTCACTCTCAGTACATTAATAACTGTCAACGCGAATTTGGAATATTCTAGAACAATTTATTTCCCAGCGGGCTTATTATCTAAACAAGATCAGGTCTTTGTGTCTTTATTTAGCCAGTATACTGTTGTAGCCTATCTGAGAATTATCTCTCTCTTGCTGCTTCGCAGTTAGGAGAAGGAGGAAAGAATGTACAGACCAGATAGTGCTTCCAGCTGTGCTGTTGTTGTGCCACACAGTTATCCGACAGTATTAGCAGGAAACAGAAACATTTAGGTACTCTTTTCTTTTTCATTTAAGTAAATGCATGCTGATAAAATACTAATGAAAAGGAATCAGAACGCAGAAGCGAGTGACTTATTATGGAAATTTTCTGTGATGCATTGTAATGTTGGATTTTCAATTTTTAAAAGTGGTTACATTCCTAATTGGCAAACAGAAAAGACCAATTTATCCCTTGTGCGAGAAGCATTTTTCTTAAATATTATTTTCATGAAGCCTCTAATTCAGCCAAACATATTATGCAAATGAAACCTATGAAATACCTTCTAAAATACACATCAGATTGACATTACTAGACCGTTATGCTAGATTGAGCAAGGGCCCTCATTACACTACATGGCAATTTTTTTGTTTCATAATACTCTGAAATAAATTGTGTTTGGTTCAAGCAAGGCTTCTGTTAGTAACTCTTGGAGTTGTCCTAAATGAGTATTTACTAGCTTCACCCAGGCATTATGAACATAATCAAATATCTCCATCCTTACTTATCTCAGGCACAAAACTTGTATCTTTTAAACTAGAAGTGTTTTCTTTTGGTACAAATCTGGCAAATGTTGGAATTCTAGTGACTGCTCCAGTGCCAAATGAATGTAGATAAATACTAGTTTCATAGAGACTGAATTTTTCAAAGCCTTATGCCACAGATACTATGAGCTACAAAATTAGTGGTCAATGTAATAGCTGAGAAAATTAAGCTTGTGTTTTGTGACACAGTCTGAACCCAGATTTATATCTCATTTGTATGCATTGCTTCCAAGAGCAATAGTGTTAAAAGGTAGCACATTTTAACATTAATGTTGTTCCTAAAGATGCAGTGTAAATGTATATGTATATGGCTGTGCTACTTCTGGAGAATATAGTTTGATTTCAAACAATTGCAATATATTAAGAAGTAAAATTCATTATGACATAATGATTTACGTAAGTAACTGATTGTAGTAATTCCTTTGCGTAATGAAGTGCTGTTTGTCTTGGTTTCACACAAGATTAGCTGGAAATACTAATGACATTTTCATTTCTGGTCTGGGTTTTTAAAAATACTCAACTTTTGATGGCTTTCACTTATGGATCTCTCCTCACACATAAGATATATTATGTCTTTGAAATTAAGGTCAGAGAGGTGTGAGCTTAGATCCAGGGAGCTTCCCATGAAACTTAAAAAATACTCAGATACTGCAGCAGTAAAAAAGAGCACTTAACCCTAAAATAAAGATATCCTTTAAAGCTATAGGCGAATTTGATTATATCTGCATTTTGGGAAGAGATCTTTAGGATGTATTTCTCAAGGTTACATCTGAATGGTGAGCTGTGGGGACTTTTGCACCATAGAGACAAGATAACTGTTCCTTCAGCTCTCTATAATTATTTTGGTACCATCCAGAGCTAAAATGATAGAGATCAGCTTCTCATTTTGCCTTACAGCTGTCTTTTTAAAATTATTATTTGTTACATTAGAACAGCAAGTGGGCAACTAATAAGGATTAGTAATGGGGAGGTTTTATTTAATTCAGTTTTTAAGCTGCTTTATTCAACAAAATCCTTAAAACATAGAGATTATATTTTAGGAGATACCAACACACTGCCATGAATTCTATAGTATGTGCAACTCTAAAGCACAATTTCATGGAAGATTAAATGCTTATATACAGTACCTGAAGTTATTATTGATTACATTTTGCAGTCGCATTCCCACATATAGGGCTTGGTGACTCACTGTTTCAGTGGGTTTTCAAAGCATTGTCTGGCAGGATTTGTAGAAGCTACATCACTATTGCTAACTCCAATGATTTTATCACAAGTCCTGCTGTATTTGATGTTGCATTTTAACATATGTCTCCCAAAGTACAATGAATATGTGAGAATTCCTCCTTTTATTTTTCAAAACAATTCTTTTTCTTCCTAATTACTAAAAAATATTAACATTTAACACATTTCTACTCATGTTTTCCCATAGATAAGTAAAAGGACTGTAGTTCAGCATTTGAATGGGAATCTCACTGTTCTTTTCGGCTTAATACATCTCTATTTTTCCGACTTTGATACTGGGAGTTGATAGTACTTTTCAAGGAGAATTGATAAGCAAGCAGTGTTCTATAACAGTTACAGAGCACATAACTTAATCAAAGGGGTCAAAGCCATTATTTTGGAATTGGAAGTTAAGATATGCCTGTCAGGAGTTAGTGAAAGGTACCTTATATTAGAGCAAACCCGTTAGGTTTGTGTTCCTACAGTGAAGACACATTTCATGTGTATGTAATATTACTTGTGTTGCTCTTTTATAGTTTCACTTCCAGTGTACTGGTCCTGAGCAGGATTTGGGGCGCTGCTGCCCCTCCTTGCTGTGGCCACTGCTGGAGGGTTTCTGCATGCAGGCCAACTCAGAAATAAAACTGTTTGTCCTCGCTTATTCTAAGTGTTACCTCTTGGTATCTCCGCAGGCGATATCCAGTCAAGCTTGGGACACCCATATTTAGTTGTCTCCCTGTGGGTGTCTGTGTGTGTGGTGGGTGTCTGAACTCCCATGATGGGCTGTAGAGATTTAGTCCGTGCAGGCAATGGAGCCAAGCGCGTGACTCAGCTCTCCGGAGTGCAGATACCTGGGGGCTGATCAGCTCCAGCTTCCACTGAGTGTGTCAACTACCGTGGGAATTTCTCACTTAGCATGCAGGTAGCTATTTGTATATAGCCCTGAAGTTTAGGTGCCTTGTTCCCAAATTGAATCCCATAGCTCTGACCAGAAGCTGAATTATATTGCTCTTTATAATTAAGGGAATGACCTCCATGTAGACTTCCAACGGCTGCCTTGAGAAGCTGAAGGCACAGGGTGGTCTTCACAAAGTCCTATTTGGCTTTCCTAGCTGGTCACATCTCTGTTTAATCCTACCTACCACTATTTGATGTTTTACTGTATATGATCTTACCTTCCTTCATAGAGAGGATTTCTGTTACTAAAGCACTTTTCTTGCTTTAGGTTCCACTTTTCAGTGAAGTGTCAGCTTTAAGTAAAACTTACTTCCTTATCTTTGCATCTGTTTCATATTAGAAACCAACTCTTTCTGAAAGTGCTACAATATGCCAGGCTAAACTCTTTTTCTGTATGGAATAATCTTGAGTACTACTAATGAAAAACAAGTACAAAATTAGAAGATTGACAAAAAGCTTTTTGTGGAGTTCAATCCAGTCGTTCATTATTTTTATTGTTTTGTTTTTAACAGGAGTCCTGTGCTCGTGTTCCAGTGCGTGCATCGCCATGTCATTTGCCTGGACTGTTTCCATTTGTACTGTGTGACTATGCTGAATGACCGCCAGTTCATCCATGATCCAGAACTTGGCTATTCCCTCCCCTGCGTAGGTATGTTTTAGGCAATTTTTTTATTTTTATTTTTTAATTTATGGAATTTTGATTTCAGGGCAAGATTATTTTTTTTGGTCATCTATTAGTTTTGGGTGTGTCTGTGGAATTATACTGTTCTCATAGGCGTTGTTTCATTTTGTGGAGAAAATATTTGAATATTGAAGTGGTTCTTGTTGAGCATGTTAACTAGAGAATTAACTGGATTCCAAAGGGCATTTCTTTTAAAAGCAAATGGATACTTTCTTCATATTAGTATTTTATAATCATCATCATCATCATCATCATAGAATGGCCTAGGCTGGAAGGGACCTTAGAGATCATCTAGTCCAACCTCCCTGATGAAGTACTAGCAGGTGATTGCATTATGCTCTGATTAAAAAAAAAACGAAACACCTTGACTTCCACATTTCCACTTTCAAATTAAGTAAATTGTTAACTTTTTTGGCCTGGCTTCAAGAAGTACTAAAAAAAGCGCTGGTATAGGAATTTTAAACAGCCTTCTTGTTAATGAAGTTATCACTACTAATTATCACCTCATTGAATGAAATAGAGATCACCCTGAGAAGATGGTAGATTATCGATTCTGCCTGAGTAGGAAACAAAGTTTGACTTAACTAGACGAAGACTTACACTGAATCTGGAAGATGTATTTTGAGAATTGATTCAATTACACTGGAATATGGACTGCAAAATTCTCAAAAATTTCCCTGTGAAAAAATATATTAGAATTTATTTTCCCAGTTGCTAAATTTATGTATGTTCATATATGTATGTCATGAGTGCTCTTTAGTATGGGGATAATTTTCCAGCATATTAGAAGCTGTATAGAAGATGAGTTTGTGTGGTTACCTGAATGGCTGACAAATGAGATTCAAATAACTAGATGGGAGGGAATTTGGCAAAATTTCTTAGAAGAATTGCATTTACTTAATGTGAGGACATTCCTTGAGAATATTGAAGGTAAAGTAGTAAGAATGTTTTAAAATTACTCATTTTTAATTGCTTCAGGAGCAATCTGGCAATGGTCATCAGTTCACATATTTCACTAGAATTTCTGTTTATATGCTCTCTCACCACATTTTATTTTACTTCCCCCCCAATAGTTTGCTCTGCTACTGCATTTGCACACTGATGTCATACTGTATGAAACACTTTTTAATGTTGTGTGAGAAAACTTGTCATGAGGAACTCAACAGGAACTCTATACGCAGGTTCTCTTGCCTTGACATTACTGTAGTAGTGTGTGGTCAGTCTGCACTTTCAGCCTCCCTCTTTGCTTCTGTAACAGTGAATCCATTTTCCACTCCCATACAAATTCACCAGCTACTTGAGATGAATCCATCCTTTTTTTCCCCCTAGTTTATCAGTTCTCTTCCCTGTTCTTCTGCTAGCTCCTTGGGTTAAGGAGTTATCCCGGTGGTACAGCAGGCAACTCATTTTTCTCTTCTCTTGTGGGTCTCCTTGGAGCCGTGTCTGGCGTCACAGAGCTTCCTCCAGTTCAGGCTGTTGTGTTAAACTAATGTTCTTTCCACCTTTTCTGCCTGCAAACCCATGGCTAGGCATGCTACACAAAACTTGTGTTAGGATTTCTCCATATATCTTGCAGCTCTAGCTGTTCAGAAGTTTTATCTCTCCTTTTTTTCTCAGAGGGGAGACTAAGAACTTTGCAGTTTTTACCTCTGACTGGCACTAGCAAACCAGTCTTTTCCTCAATTCTATGTGTTGAACACTATGACAAGTGAGCAGTAGAAGCAGAGTAGGTATAGGATGAGAAGAAGCAAGAAGACAGAGCTGAAATGCTCAGAGATGCAGTTTCACTCTGAGAGATGAGAAAGGCATAGGGTTGGCCTAAGAAATAGTGCACAAAGGATGACTGCACTTCTCCTTTCAGGTGAGACGTCCTTCAGCTGTGGGAATGGAAAAGCAGCTATTTCAGCCAGTCTAGCCTCAGCTGTGTGCTTTAATGCTTTAGGCATTAAAGTAGTTAATTATGGAAATGCTAAAATGTTGCTAATCTTAAAGTTTCAGAACCCATCAATTCAGAAAGGTGTTTTCAAAACAAAGTGTAATACTAGTGGTAGTAGTAATAATAATATAATAATAATAACAGTAGTAGTAGTAGTAGTACTAGTACAATTGTGGTACATTTTCTCTCTGTTCTCCAGTTCGTAAGAATCTTTCTTGGAAAAAAATCTGCAGAGGTGCTGCCCCGTGCCAGTGGAGTGCGTAATTTAGGCACATCGCAGTGCAGTGCTGTGCAATACAGAGATTCTTGAGCTAGATTGTGCTCTAGCTTGTGAGGTAGATCATGATGCCGAAGGGAAGGAAGTATAAGCCTGTCAGTATAGCGCATAGGACGGGATCTGTAACACTTCTGATTGGCTGATGACAACTGACCAGGCAAATACTACTTCAGGACCTGTGCTAGTGTGGAGCTGTCTAGACACACTTGCTTGCCCAGAGCCATCCTGATTAAGAAGTATTGACATTACACTATGCTGGCATGCTTTGTGCCGGAGAGGTGCTCAGTCACAGTCTCTGAGGATTCAGTGGTTTTAAATAATATTCCACCTAAATCTAAAATTGATTGCTACCTCCGTCAGTTCTCCTTGTTGTGGTATTAGTTCTGTGTACAGAAAAGCATTTATAAGCATTATCTTTCAGACTGCTTTGCAGGATGCAGAATGTAATCACTGCTGTTGTAACTTCACTGGTCCATTTCTGCAGCTACCTGAACCTAACTTTCTGGTATGCAAGAAATTTGGGTTTTTTTAGAATTAGGAACCGATGATTGTTTTTCTGTCATTTGAGAAAGTCGTAAGGCTCAGCTGTGTCACAACTATGAAGAAGAGCAATGCCTGAGTTCCCAGCTCCTTCTAGAAAGGAATTTAGCCTCCATCATAGCTATGGATCCAGCAGCTTTCATCAGCAATGAATTAATTTCAGAAAAGTATGATGTGATCTTCTTTTCCATTTACCATGGCAGTCCCACTGAATAGTGAAAGATACAATTTTTGCAGTCTACAGTTTGCAGTCTTGGGTTTTGCAACTGCAATTTGCTGTTTGTATTTACGTGAGAGGACAATAAAGTGCTCTGACACAGCTTTCTTTAATTCATTTGATGAAGCCTAGAATGAATTCCCCTTGACAGGAATGAATGCCATGGGACATGAAAAAAAAGACTTCTCTTGCTGTGGCAATGTTGGTTTGATACATGTGGTCTCTAACAGAGCATGACTCAGTGCAAAGAGTAGTGGATCTGAGCTTTATTGAAAAGGTTAGATGTTGATCTGAGCCTCCTTAGAGAAATACAAAACAAAGTTGTATTTACTGTGATGAGATTTATGTTATGGTAGGTGACCAGGTTGCCCAGAGAGGTCAAAACATTCTGTATTAATACATGTATTTTTAAACATCACAGACAAACGCTGAAGTAGTATTTTTAGTGTATTGAACAGAACATACTAATGTTCTGATTTTTGACTTTGGAAAAGTGATTTCACTGTTCCATTTACATTTAAGAATGGTTTTACTTAAAAACTAACCCATTTCTTCAAGGCATATGTGCACACATTGCCCTAGAAATGTATGGGAGGGTTTGGATTTGTAATTAAGCCTATTTAAATTGTTTGCACTTCCAATTAGTTCTGTTAAGTCTAGTGTTTTTCAAAAATACAGCTAATTTAATGAACATAGCCTGCAGTTTCCATTAACATTTGACTCACTATTCATGATTTTTATCAAGGGAATGTACCAACATAGCAAGTTTTTTATATCTTTTACTGGATCAATCTAGAGGTGAAAGCACCACACACAACTGAATAAAAAAAACCCCTAGCAGTTGCTGCAGCAAAGGGTGAGTGTGATGGACAAGATCAGTGTTATCACATATATGATAACTTGAGCTGGAAAGGATCTAGGGATTTGAGATAAATGGTGCTTCTCAAGTAGGTTTAATTTCTTGCTTTCTGGCACAGATATGCCAGAAGATGCATTTCGTTACTTAATTCAGGTATTCTGTGTGTTTCCATCCTTGATATTTCACCTTGATCATGCCATAGTTTCACTTTGTTCCAACAGAAAATGTGTCATTGCTATGATTTCTGGAAGAACAACATCAATTCCTTAGTGCTTAGCTGCTAATCTAGTGCCAGGCAGCACCACTCCAGCTGAGAACCGCCAGCGTTGAGGACCAGAGCTCTGAGCAGGATAGCTGGTACATTGATAGGATTAGCTGGTCGTGTGGCAGGAGCCCTGCAGTTCAAACCTACTGTATCAGCTCAGAGCAAGGACTTATAGATAGGAGCTGACTGGATTTCACTGGTCATTAAAATAAAAAAGTAACCATTACAGATTATAGTCTCTCCGCCCTTGTTAAATGACAACAAAAATCTATCCCATCTCTCTGTATGGTGTCTTGTATTAATGAGGCTTCATGCATAGAAATTTCCATGAGTAGTGACCTCCAAGTATCTTTGAAATAATTAATAAGGTGCTTAGAGGTACAGATTTGCATATGCATGAAAGATCATTTATGGTTATTTAGTTACTGTGCAGAGCAAAGAATCTCATAATGTTACCTCAAAACAGGAATTTTATACAAATATACAATGTATTACCGCATTTAAACACCTACTGTTTCTATGAACGTTGTTTCATTTTTAAAATAGCATTACAGCATAATGGGTCTTGGTCCGCAGGGTAAAATAAACTTCCATAGATCTCTGGTAGAAGAAAAAAATGGTGAGGCCAAGGAAAGGCAAGGGTTTATGGTGCTGTAGGCCCTTGGCAATAATGTCTTTGCACCGGTTTATTTCTTATGAGTAATCATATGCATGATGTGTTTTAAAGGAATCTGGATAAAAGATGCAGTTCTCTTGATGACTGTAAAACACTATTGGGTCTGAAAGTAATCTGATTTTCCCACACAGATATATAAATAAATAAGCAGAATTACCACCAATTTGTGTATGGAACTGCTAATAAAAAGGACTAAA